GGGATGGAAGCAGACAGGGCAAACTGCACAGGGGAAATCCAATGAAACTTCAACTCTACACAAATAGCTACAGGCACCTGAAAATACCTGGGAGTAGGAGATATGGCAACCTCAGGGAAGAACACACCAGTTATTCATGTATTGTCAAATGATTAGTCCTGAAGATATGCACACAACTAACATTATATGGACTCAAAACTACATTTTAATCAATATATATGTAAATACATATATGCATGCAATAATAATTGATGAAAAAAGATGACATGAATTTGAAGGAGTGCGGAAAGGGAAGTATTTGTAAGGAGGCAAAAGAAAGGAGAAATTTAATAAAAAATATAGTCTTAAAAATAAACAAAAATCATAGGTGATACTTGTGAACATTTACTTTTTTATAATTATTTTTATTTGAATTACAAACAAGCTTGCTTTACATGTCAATCCCAGTTCCCTTTCCCTCCTGTTCTCCCCTGCCCCTCCCAAACCCCTATCCTATCACCTTTCTGATATCCAGGGAGAGTGAGGACTTCCATGGGTGATTTTCTAAAGTATCTCATATCATTGCACTGCCCCATTTGTCTAGGCTGAGAGAGTATCCCTCTGTGAAGAATGGGCTCGCAAAGTCCATTTGTATGCTAGGCATAAATACTGATCTACTACCAGAGGCCCCATAGATAGCCAAGACTCCTCACTGACACCCACATTTAGGTGGTCTGGATCAGTCCTAAGCTGATTTCCCAGCTGTCAGACTGGTGTTATGAGCTCTCCCTTGTTCAGGTCAGCTGTTTCTGTGGGTTTCTCCAGCCTGGTCTTGACACCTTTGCTCATCACTCCTCCCTCTGTGCAAATGGATTCTAGGATTTCAGTTCAGTGTTTATCTGTGGGTGTCTGCTTCTGCTTCCACAAGCTACTGGATGAAGGATCTAAGATGGCAAATAAGGTAGTAATGAATCCAATAATTTGGGAAGGGCATTTAAGGTTGCCTATCCACTATTGCTTAGATTGCTAGATGGTGTCATCCTTTTAGATATCTAGACATTTTCATGGTGTCAGATTTCTCCCTCTATTATGGTATCTCTTACCTTGCTCTCCTCTGCTCTTCCCACAACTCAAACTTCCTGCTCCCTAATGTCCTCCTCTCGCCTCCTCTTCTCTGTTTCTCTTTCTCCTAACCCCTCTCCCCTCCCATGCTTCCAGTTTGCTCAGGAGATCTTGTCCCTTTCCTCTTCTCAAGGGTAACATGTTTTTCTCTTTTATTTCCTTATTTCCTAGCTTCCCTTTAGGTGTGAATTGTAGGCTGGTTATCCTTTGCTCTATGTCTAAAATCCATATATGAGTGAGTATATACCATGCTTATCTTTTTGTGACTGGATTAACTTTCTGAGGGTGGTTTCTTCTAGCTCCATGATTTGCCTGTGGATTTCAAGATATAATTGTCTTTTTCCACTGAGTAGCACTCCATTATGTAAATGTACCACATTTTTTTCTATCCATTCTTCAGTTGAGAGGCATCTAGGTGGCTTCCATGCTCTGGCTATTACAAATAATGCTGCCATGAACATAGTGGAACAGACATCCTTGTTGTATGAATGGGCATCTTTTGGGTATATGCCTAAGAGTGGAATTACTGGGTATTGTGGTAGACTGATTCCCATTTTCCTAAGGAATCTCCAGACTGATTTCCAAAGTGGCTGTATGAGTTGGCACTCCCACCAGCACTGGAGGAGTGTTCCCCTTTCTCCACATCCTCTCCAGCTCAAACTGTCATTGGCATTTTTGATTTTAGCCATTCTAACAGGCAGAAGATTGTGTCTCAGAGTTGTTTTTATTTGCATTTCCCTGATGGCTAAGGATGTTGAAACATTTTCTCAATTAAGATTGTCTTTTCCTGGATAAGTATAGGTTTGTGTCATATGAACAAAAACCAAACAATAAAAGTTAATAATAGAATAAAAACTTGTATAACTTTAGTCAAATCTATATTATACTTATTTTAAGTAATAACATTTTCTTCAGTGATTTCCAAGGTGAATATCTTTAACAAAAAGGAAGGATTTTTTTTCACAAAAATATATGGATAATATTGAATTTTAGAGTTTGGTACTGTGAGTTTTGATATTTTAATTAAATTTTATTTAAAACAATCTTATTTTACATACCATTACCCGTTCCCTCTCCTTCATCCTCCCTTTCTTCAAAACCCACATTCCTTCTCCTCTTTCTACTCCTCAGGGAGGGTAAGGTCTTCCATGAGAGATCATGAAAATCTGTCACATCATTGGGGCAGAACCTAGGCCCTCCCCCATATATCCAGGCAGTATCCCACCATAGGGAATAGACTCCCTAAGTCCATATGTGCACTAGAGATAAATATTAGTTCCACTGTCAGAGGCCCCATAGACTGTTTTGATTCTTAAGTATCAATGATGTTAAACCCTAAGACCTAAATTTTTGGAATTTCTGACATCTTCCACTGTCAGAAAATAATATTTGATACTATACAGTTCTAGGCATGTGTATTAGCACATGAACAGTGTGACTAATAAATATATTGGGGATACAGTAATGAGTCTGGACTGTCAATAATGAATATTGAGGAGAAGTTTGCCAAGTAACCTTGCAAAGTAGCAAGAAGGTGGCATTGCATTCCTTCCATTAGAAATTATTAATTACAAATTCAAGAAAAATTATTGGAACATTTTACTACAAAGTTCAAAAATAACTACATTTATCTTATTCAATAACCTAGTAGCTTAAGCAGGCCAGAATCAAACTATTGCACTTCTAGTGATGATAGTGAAATAATTACTTTGTAACCCAAAACTAATTTTTAAAAACTCTGACACTGAAAGTTAAAAATTTCAAATGAAATCAAATTACTCCAGGCCCCCATATAAATTTGTGTAAATGGTGGAATTGAACAGCAGAAGCCCATTTGTCATTTCTATTACTTCCATAAAACACTGAGTCATTCATTTAAGATTCTACAGGATTGGAAGTTCTGTTCCCAAATAAGATGCTCAACATCCTTAGCCATCTGGGAAATGCACATCAAAACCACTCTGAGATACCATCTCATTCCTGTCAGAATGGCTAAAATCAAAAACACCAATGACAATTTATGCTGGAGAAGATGTGGTGAAAGGGGGACATTCCTCCACTGCTGGTGGGAATGCCAAAGTGTACAGCCACTTTAGAAATCAGTATGGAGATTCCTCAGAAAAATGGGATTAAACCTACCACAAGACCCAGCAACTCCACTCTTAGGCATATATCCAAAAGATGCCCATTCACACAACAAGGATGTCTGTTCCACTATGTTCATAACAGCATTATTTGTAATAGCCAGAACTTGGAAGCAACCTAGATGACCCTCAACCAAAGAGTGGATAGAGAAAATGTGGTGCATTTACAGAATGGAGTACTATTCAGCAGAAAAAAGCAATGGAATCCTGAAATTTGCAGGCAAATGGATGGCACTAGAGGAAACCATCCTGAGTGAGGTAACCCAGTCACAAAAAGAGAAACGTGGCATGTACTCTCTCAAATATGGATTTTAGACCTATATCTGGGATGTGCCAGACTACAATCCCATGGCCAGATAGTCTGGGAAACAGAACCTTCAATCAGTGGCTGATTGGAAGCAGAGGCAGACTCCCATGGCTAAGCACTTAGCTAAACTCAAGAAAGCCAGTGACAAAGAGGGAGGCCGGATGACCGAAGGGATTAAGACTGGGCTGGTTTAACCCCCAGAAACAGCTGACCTGACAAGGGTTAGCTCTTGAATCCCAGGCTGATGCCTGGAAATCCAGCATGGGACTGATCAAGACACCCTGAATGGGGGTATCAGTGAGGAGGCCTAGGTAATCTATTGAGCCTTGGGTAGTAGATCAGTATTTATCCCAAGTATACACATGGACATGGACTCCCATCCAACAATGAGAGATGCACTCTCACCCTGAACTCTTGGGGCAGGGTCTAGGCCATGCCCTGGATGAAATGACAGACTATGGACACCCCCATGGAAGGCCTCACCCTCCCTGGGGAAATGAGGGGATATTGGGGGCATTGGTGGGAGGGCACGGGAGGAGGGGAGGGAAATGGAAAGGGACCTGGAATTGACATGTGAAGCAACCTTGTTTCTAATTTAAATGTAAATTTAAAAATAATATATATATACATATATATAAAGGTGCTACTATTACACAATAGTATTATTTAGTTATTGAATCTGATAGATACACAATGTTTCAATTAATCTATAGGAGTAAAATAGAGCTAATATACATCACAGTGTAATATTCCCTGACTTACATATGGGGTAAAGAAAGAGTTTGTAGTAAAGTGGAGCAGAAATAACATTTTTATGGGGTTTTTGAGACAGGGTTTTTCTGTGCAGCTTTTCTAGACCAGGCTGGCCTTGAACTCAGAGAGATTCACCCGCCCCTGCCTAACTGCTGGTTTTAAAGGCATGTGCCACTACTATCTAGCTAGGAATAACACATTTTAATAGAGATGGCCCGTTTCACTCACTGCTTCCTAGCATGGCTATGCAGACATTAAACGTGCATAGACAAGTCCTGTCATCCACTTCTATGAAGAATATGAGTGTCAAGTGTTCAGACTTGGCTGAGTGAAATTTTAGTTCACATCATCAGACAAGCCACCAAAACACTGACCAGGTAATCCTGACAGTGGAGAAAATTAAGGAAAGCAAGCCTAAGTAGGAAGGGAAGATAGTCATGTCGCCCTAGAATTAACTTGGACAGCAACGGATCTAATTCTTAATATTGACTTCTTTTGGAAGGTGCCCCAAAGAGAATCACATTGTGAGGGCTATTTTCCACTGTGGGGTAGTGAAGTAGGATGGATTGTGATGGCTTTCCAAATATGCCTCTTGGGTCCTAAGCTACAGATTTTATAAAGGATGGAGTGCCTTAGGTTCCATTTCCAGAATTTACCATTATGATGTAAAAAATCATGTTTCCAAAGGGCTGCTTTCAAGCAGGGACTGGATGTGGGAGAGTCTAGAAAGCTTCCCTTCCAAAAAGATAGGACAGTTTCTCTAATCAACAATTCCCAGTGTCTGAGTGTCTGAGATTCTTCCTATCAAACCTTTATCCCTTCTCATTCCCGCCACAAATGACCAAATCCTCATAACCCTTCCTTCCTGGACTCCAAGTCTTTGTATTTCATTAGCTCTGTCTGAAATATGAAAGTGCCCTACTGTCTTTCCTTTTGTACAACTTTTCTTGCAACTTCAGTAGCTTTTGAGTTCTTAGAACCTGAACATTTATACAATTTCTCAAAATTTTGATTTCCATACTAATTTTGTTGTTGAAACACCCACACAGTATATTTTGGGAGGGTTATGAGATGCTTCCTTGTTGGAGGATGTGTGTCTCAAAGGCAGGCATGGGCTTTGAGGTTTGATAAGACATTCCCACTTCCCAATGTTCTTTGTCTGTCTCCTAGTTGCAGATCAAGATGTGAGCTCTCAGCTGCTACAGCCAACATGCCTACTGTTTGCTACCATGCTGCTGATGTATTATGGACTCCCAACCCTCAATAATTGTAAGCTAAATTAAATGCTTTATTTTTAAGATGCCTGCACCATGGTACTTCATAATAGCAATAGGAAAATATGTAAGAGACATAAATAAGCAAATTTTTGAAAATAAGTTGACTTCAGTGTCAGAGCCAACATGCCCATCTTCTATTACAATGATTAGTTAAAATAAAAATGTCATAATGAGTTTTGAATGAATACATATACAGAACAAAAATTTAAGTCTCCAGAAGTAAGCATACATACATACATACATACATACATACATATATGTACATAGATTCATTGTAATATTAATGTAAAAATATCATGGGCAATAAAAGTAATCTCAGAAAAACCTATGTTGATAGTCACTAAAGTGTGTAAAATTGCTACAGAAAATTTTCATGGAATACGTCAACATCATTAGAGAAATTAGTTAATAGCTAAATAGACTCTAAATCATTAAACCACTGAAATTTACTAAAATAGTGTTTACAAATATTTTGTAATTGTATTTCCTGGGATATAGGGTAATAGTATTCTTATGCACGTTTATATACAAAGAATGGGAAATTAATAACTCTATTAGATTTACACTCAGAGGATAGGGACATGGATAGCTGGGTAAAAGTTTTTGCCACAAAAGTGTGAGGCCTTGAGTTTGACTCCATGCTATCATATTCTGCATGTCTGTCAGTCCAAATCTGTAGTCTCAGGGCTCCTTCAGAGAAAGCAAAGGCAGAGTCAGGAGAACCCATAAAGAATCAGGGCTAGCTAACCTGGACTTCAGGAGGGAAACCACAAAGAGGAAGGTAAGCAACTGATGTCTGACCTTGTCTTCTGACATCCTGCAAGTGCTATGGCATGTACGTACCCATACACCAATGGATACACAGGAATTCCTGCTCTCACACACATAAACATTCACATCAACAAAATTGTACACACACACACACACACACACACACACACAACACACACACACAAAGGAAAAATTAAGTAAATTTATTCTAAAATTAGGGTCCACCTGTGACTCCAGCTATAAGGGGTTCTAAACCTCGCATATTTTCTATGGACACTTACATGTATATGTACTTGTAGTTACATTCCCATATTCGGATACACAGAATCAACATGGAATAAATCTTTGACATAAAAAGAGACAAATGACTTTGGGCAGCAAGCATCACTGAGTGTCAAGAATATATAAAGACATAGGTGATTTTAGTATTTTAAAGACATAAAAAGAGATCATCTGCTGCTAATTTCAATGATAGGATATTTTCAAATATTTGAAATCATTACTATTTTTTACTTCAGGAGGAAAGGGAAGTGACTCAACATGAAAGAAGTGGGACTTCCACAGTGATCACAAGTTTTGAGTATTCATAAGATCCTGTTACTAGAATGTTCCTTTGCTGAAGTTGCTTCCTAAGGGTTTGGATCTCCACAAGTATCTAACAGGATGTGAGAAAAGGATTAGTATTACAAGTGTCTAGATATATTGCTGTAAATTTGAAGCAGGGTGATTATTGAACATATCCCAGGACAGCCGTTTTTCTAACAGCTATATAAGGCAGAATACCCAAATCTGTAGAACTATCTTAAATATTTCTTGCTTGCACCATAGCAAGCACGTAAAACTTGTATAAGTTTGACATTTTTGCATATGTCTGTTTGTGATATATGCAAGTATGCATATGCCTGTATGTATGTGTGTGTGTGTGTATGAGAGAGAGAGAGAGAGAGAGAGAGAGAGAGAGAGAGAGAGAGAGAGAGAGAGAGAGAGAGAGAGAGAGAGAGGGAGAGTTTGCTAGAGGCTAGAGGCTGATTTCAGGTGTCTTCCTTGATTCTTTTACATTTGTTTCCTGAGGACAGGTGTCCTTGTGAATCTGTACCTTGGGGATTTGGCTATTCTAACTATTCAATTTGCCTCAAAAGAATCAACTTCACGAATGGCTGGATTACAGGCACACTTCCATGTGTGCCTGGGTGCTAGGGATGGGGACACCAAACTTCTGGTACAATCAATAAGAGCTGTAGCCAATGAGTCATTTCCAGAGCCTGTTTTGCACATCTTAAAATTCAATTAACTCACCTGAAACAATTTTCCATTATAGTCAACACAATACTTTTAGCTGAGAAAATAAAATAAGGATAAAATGCCAACGTGAAATACATCTACAAGGAAGAAAACTGAACTAGCCACCAACCCCTGTGAAGGAAAAGATAGCTAATGTTATGACAGAGATAGGGCTCAATAAGGCTGTTTCTCATGAAGAACAGGTCAAAGTTGCTAATTGAACTAATATCTAAATTATTAGCAGTACGTTTTAAAGAAAGCCTCATATCCTGACTTCCTAGTTACTTCTTTTTGAGTTTTATTGTAATCTTAAACTCCCATTCATTGTGCAAACATGAATTGAATTATTAATTTACTGAATATAGTTCATAGCTAATGATACATACAGGATGGGATTTTTTAACATCAGGTAAAATTGAATTTAAAAAATAGTTTATGAACACATGATCTTTAAATATGATTTATGGCCATTTCCAGGAAGAATAATAAATATCAAGGAAACTCATTCTTAACAAAAGTGGCTATAAATCTGCAGGGGAGACAGTTTCTATGGAAATTAAATCCCTTGACTGATTTATCAGGCCTAAATGCATCATTAGATTTCAACTTCATTTTTTTCTTGAAGCCCATGTTCCACAGGCAGACTCTCTAGTGAGGTCACGGTTTTCTCTGTGTTCACTCCCGCTTATTATTTTAGGTACAATGGATTCATAATTTTTAACTGAAATTTCTTACTTATATGCTTATCTCATGACAGTTAGCTAAGTTTAAAATGGACCCTGTACTGTACAAACCTACTTATCCAGAGTAGATTCTCAGAAAGTTCCAAGTCACATGAAGGGCTAAATTGAGATTGTGGTCTCGGAACTCAGACTGTAGCCTAACCTTTCATGGTGGACACATGCTTTAGGGTTGGTGAGTTATGACATATGGAATAAATGATGGCTTCAGGGAGACCTATTGTAAGTTTCAGTAAATATTATGCATCCAATTTATAGTTTAGAAAGAGAAATAAAAATTATATTCATGCATTTATCGCAGTTGCTTGTTTTGAACACTCTGTGAATAGCAAATAGACACATGACAAAGCTCCACTGTCTTCACATTACTACGGAAAGCACTTGCGAGGGAACTCTGAGACAAAAGATATGTTACTTAAGAAAATATCTCATTTCAAAACATTCCTTCACTTTTCCCTGTCTTATCACAGATGAACTGTTGAACTACAAACGTCCTTAGAGGTAGGATGTCTATAAAAATGATAGATTAAATACATGCGTAAAGAACACAGTAACTGATATGTCCAATAGTGTAGACTCATTGTCATCCTAAATATCATTTTTTGCAGGTCATGGCAATTATTATACAGCCCAGCCAAATTTAGTCTTGAACGTAAGTTAATCTTGCCTCATCATCCCAAGTCATTGGTCTCTAATCATGACCCACAATGCTCAACTCTGTATATCATTAATTATGATACTTTCCAGGTATCTTTCATTCATATAATTTAGATATTATACTTACATTTCAAGCTATCTTCTAATATATTTAAAGAAAGTGTTGCTACATTTATAAATTTAAAACATTTTATTATTGAGTTGTGCGTGCGTTTGTGTGTGTGTGTGTGTGAGAGAGAGAGAGAGAGAGACAGAGAGAGAGACAGAGAGAGTATTTGTGTGTGTACGCTGGGCACGTACACATGCCATGACACACATGCAGAAGCCATAGTACAATGATGTGGAATCATTTCTATCCTTCTACCTTTGCCTTGGTTCCAGGACTCCACCTACAGATTTCTATGATAAGCATCTTCACCTTCTAAATTCTCCCACTCATCCAAGGGTTGAATTTACAAAAATGAGTCAGAGGTTAAGTGAACAGAATCATGTTCATGTTAGGACTACCCTGAGTCTTCCCACACCTCAGCCTTCAATGTCTTCTGGTCCTTTCCTGGTGCTGAAGGTGAGTGGGGTCCCTGCTCTGATCCCCAACTCCCTACATCCCCGGCTCCATCTCCCTGGGCATTTTCTGTGCCTAGAGAGTACCTGCACCTCCCAGAAGGATCACCCTGAGTCTGCCCAGACCTGTGTCTTCCAGTCCATTCTGGGGCTTAAGGTGTGTGGGGGCCCTGCTCTGATCCCCAACTCCCTACATTCCCGGCTCCATCTCCCTGGACATTTTTCTGTACCTAGAGAGGACCTGCACCTCCCGGAAGGATCACCCTGAGTCTGCCCACACCTCAGTCTTCAGTGTCTTCCAGTTCTTTCCTGTTGTTAAGTCTTTAGTCTCCTTTGGTCTCTGCTCTGTGCTTGAGAGTGTCCCAGACCCACCTGCACCCATTGAAGTATTGAACATGCTTGAATGTACTGGAAATGATCCTTAGTCCCAAAACCACCAAGAGAAGAAGAAACCCCATGAGGTCCCACTGAAAGAAAGGATAGGAAGAAGGCAATATAAAAACACAGTCAACAACAGAGGAACCAGTATGACACCACTAGAGTCTAGAAACTCTATACCAGCAAGACCTGAACATATCAACACAGATGGAACAGAAAAGAATGACCTTAAAAACAACCTCCTCAAAGTTATAGAGGCCCTCAAAGAGGATATGAAAAAAATCCCTTAAAGAAATGGAAGAAAACACAAACCAAAAATGCAAGAAATCAACAAATCTCTTAAAGAAAGCAAGAAACGCCAAGAAAAAAAATCAAACAGATTAAGGAAACAATTCAACCATTCAAGACCTGAAAACCAAAATGGAGATAATAAGAAAAACACAAACTGAGTTCATGCTGGGAATCAAAATGCTGAAAAAACAATCAGGAACTATAGATGCAAGCATAACTAACAGAATACAAGAGTTGGAAGACAGAATCTCATGCACTGAAGATAAACTAGAGGAAATAGATTCATCGACAAAAGAAAGTGTTAAATCCAACAAATCCTTAACACAAAATATCCAGGAATTATGGGACACCATGAAAAAAAAACAACTCTAAGAATAATAAGTATAAAAGAAGGTGAAGAAGCCCAGCTCAATGGTGTAGAATCTCAATCATAGAAGAAAATTTTCCCAAGCTGAAGAAGGAGATGTCTATGAAACTAAAAGAAGCTTGCCGAACACCAAGTAGACTGAACCAAAAAGAAAAGTCCCCTTGCCACATAATAATTAAAACACCAAACATACAGAAAAAAGAACCAATATTAAAAGCAGCAAAGGAAAAAGGCCAAGTAACATACAAAGGCAAACCTATCAGAATTACACCCAACTTCTCCATAGAAACTATGAAAGGCAGAAGGTCCTGGATAGATGTTCTACAAACACTAAGAGACCACAGACTCCAGCCCAGTCTACTATTCCCAGAAAAACTGTCATTCACTATAGATGGAGAAAATAAGATATGCCATGACAAAACCAAATTTATGCAATACGTATCCACAAATTCAGCCCTACAGAAAAATTCTAGAAGGAAAACTCCAACCCAAGGAAGTTAACTGCACTCAAAATAACAAGGGCAATAGACAATCTAACTTTACCAGAAATCAGAAATAGGAGAAAAACTCACACATAAAACCACCACCAAAAATGGATCCAAAGCAAACAAGAGTCAACAACCAATGTTCATTAATATCCCTGAATATCAATGGTCTTAACTAACCAAAAAAAAAGACACAGGCTAACCAAGTGGATACAAAGATAGAATCCATCCTTCTGCTGCATACAAGAAACACACCTCAATTTCAAAGACAGACACTACCTCAAGGTTAAGGGTTGGGAAAATACTTTCCAATCAAATGGACATAGGAAGCAAGCGGGTGTAGCTATCCTAATATCTAACAAAATAGATTTCAAACTAAAATTAATCAAAAGAGATGAAGAATGTCATTTCAGATTCATCATAGGAAAAATCCATCAGGAAGAAGTCTCAATTCTGAACATATATGCCCCAAATATAAAGCCACCCATGTTCATAAGAGAAACATTACTACAACTCAAATCACACATTAAAACCCACACACTTATAGTGGGAGACATCAACATGCCACTCCCACCACTGGACAGGTCCACCAGACAGAAACTTAACAAAGAAACAATGGAACTAACAGAAGTTATCACCCAACTGGGTTTAACAGACATCTATAGAACATTCTACCCAAACAAAAAGGAATATACCTTCTCTGTACCACACGGAACCTTCTCTAAAATCGACCACATACTTGGCAGTAAAGCAAACCTCAATAGATACAAAACAAATGGAATAACCCCTGTATCCTGTCGGACCACCACGGCTTCAAATTAGAAGTCAATGCCAACACAAATTGCAGAAACCTCACAAACGCACAGAAATTGAACAATGTTCAATTGCATCACCCCTGGGTAATGGGAGAAACAAAATACTTCCTAGAATTCAATGAAAACGAAAGCATCACATACGCAAACCTTTGGGATACTTTGAAACCAGGGCTAAGAGGAAAGTTCATAGCACTAAGTGCCCACATGAAGAAACTGGAGAATAGCCACACTAGAGAATTTTTTTTTTTGGTTTTTTTCAAGACAGGGTTTCTCTGTATTGTTTTGGAGGCTATCGGTCTAGCCCGGCCTCGAACTCACAGAGATCCGCCTGCCTCTGCCTCCTGAGTGCTGGGATTAAAGGCGTGTGCCACCACCACCTGGCACACACTAGAGAATTAAAGAAGCAAACTCACCCAAGAGGAGTACATGCCAGGAAATAACCAAATTGACACCTGAAATATTTTTATTTTTTAAATTAGATTGCAAAATAACAAGCTTCCTGATGGAGTTTCCATATATATGTATGTATACATGTATGTATATATTAATAATGTTTCTTAGTAGTTTCTTTTCCCTGTTTGTATCTACCATTTTTTTTCTAGCTTTTGGTCCCATCTATATCTGTTTGCCTCAATGGTCATCCTTCAATCGTCTTCTATTGAATTCCTCTGCTCCTCCCTTACATGGTCTTTTGTTTTCTAATCTCACCAAGCCCTTTTCAATTCCATTATTTTACTTGTATTTATCCCTCCCTGGATGCAAATTTATTACTTAGAAGCTAAGATTTCATTTTGAAAGGGAACATATAGTGTTTTGCTTTCTAAGCCTGAGTATTGAGATTCATACAATGTTTTCCTATCAGACACTTTTTCTATTGAACATATTTTTTCAACCTTCCTAATGCTGCCACACTTTAATATACTTCCTCCTGTTATACTGATCGCAAACAAAAAATTATTTCATTACTACTTCATACCTGTAATTTTGCTACTGTAATGAATTATAAAGTAAATATCTGACATGCAATATATATTATATTATGTATATTATTGTATATTATATATTGAGAACAAGCACTGTAAAATATGGTTTGAGTGATCATAGGCCATCAAATCCATACTGTAAATATGCCCTGTATCTGTGGAATCATTTTTATCACAATGAGCAAAGAATGGGAGGGTAAAATTTTTAATATAATGCTAACCATGAATTAATGAATTTTCTGTAATTTTAAGGCATCACTTTGTTTGGCAGGAAGGAAATGCAAATGCTGATCTTTTCAATACGAGCTACAGATTCATAAGTAAATACAGTGGCATTTAGTTAATTTCCACATGTTTCAACACACTGTATTTTTCCCAATTTAGTGCTGCAGCTTATCATGCCTGTGTTAGTGACTTGTGTTTGTATGATAAGAGACCATGACCAGAGAACCTTAAGGAAGCATATGTCACAACTCAAATATGGAGGACAAAGGGCCAGTGTGTGGAGTCAGTTGTCTCCTTCTACCCTCAAGTGTTCCCAGTTTTGTGCAGCAAGTGCTTCTACTTGGCGACTCATCTTCCAAGCATGTTCACGTTGTTCTTGAGTTTTCAGTTGCTTACTTTTTGATTTTTTTTCTTTATATTGAATTTTGTTAAACACAAAAGTTAAGTTAAAAAATGAATTTTGCTTGATTTAAAAAAATGCTGTACCCATATACAGAAATAAAAATACCATATATCCTGTCTCCTATAGGAATCCCAGTTTCAGTTAAATACGAGTATCTAGGTGGAAAACTATGTAAGCAAGGACCAGTGCACTAGAACTTCACCCATAGGACTAGAAAAAAAAAGAGCTGTGCAGGAAAAACAATAGAGCAATATGAGTGCTGGAAGCCCTGGGCAAAGGGTTAGGATGGACTTTAAAATCAGTCAAAGTACAACATGAAAATCACAAATTGCAACTTATTGCTTGGAAACCAAATTCAAAGAACAAAAGTTAAAGTAACATGAAACTCATCAAAATTGAGATTTTTATTAAATTAAAGAAAGCATTGTCACAGGAAACAGCAAAGTTTTTCAATGAGTATTCAGTAAAAGAATCTAAAAGCTGATGCTTGCTTTTCCTTTATTTCCATCCAGAAGTAATGCAAAGAAATCCTGTTTTGAACACACGCTAGCTACACTGAGAATAATAGTACCAGTCCTCAGTGACTGAAAATAATAGTACCAGTCCTCAGTGTGCTTGTGTTAATGATTGTCCTAATCATACTTTTATTTAGAAATCATTACATGAACAGCACACAAGTCTTTGTTATTCTGTATTTGTATGTTATACACATATAATGAACTCACAGACACACATTTATTTTCTTAGGAAATAATTCAAAGTTTAATCCATTCCCCACATGATTGAAACTCACTTTATAAATCAGTTTTTACTCAATTAATAACATACAAGTTAATATCTTAACTGAAACATAGTTTGATAAAAGGCCAAAACAAAGATAATCTTTACTTTTAGTGTAAAAAGATAAGTTGAATTTATGTAACATAATTCATTATTATTGTTTTAATTTAAATGTAAGTACATTGTTTTGCTGCTTGCTTTTCTCTCTACATTCCCTTCTGTGTCTCTCTTCTGTAGCCTCTCCTAAGTTGCCCCACACCTGAAATTCATCCTTGTCCTCCTCTTAAAGATCTCATAGCTTTTTTCCATCTGGGAGCTTAACCTTTTTTTTTTTTTTTTGGCCTGCTTTAGCATTCCTATGACATTATTGGTAAAAGTAAAACAACTTCATGGGAACATGAAACGTTTTTAATTTATCTTTTTTATTTCATACCAGGATCTTGATTCAAGATCTTCACAAATATAAAACAGAAACAAAAGAATGAAGAACAAAAATTCAGACAAAAGAAGGGAGCTGGCAAAAGACATTTGCTAAAAACATATCTCTACCCCTGGTATTGGCAATATGCTGCAGAGGAGAGCAGAAACAACCACGGGGAGTAAACTCTACCTGGGACCACTATGCATTTAAATTGGGAATACTCATTGCAATAAATTAACATTATTTCAAATTCATTAAAATTATGCAAAACGTGTCTCTGTGCTGGCTAGGAAGAAAAATAATTTTTAAAGTGTTTAATTCTTTCGATGTCATACAAGAATGGTTTAATTTTTTAGCATTTTATTTGATCATTTCAAAATGTTATTATGTCATTCTTGAAGGATAAAGTTCTCCATGTCATAATTATTTCCAAGAGTGATGCAATTGTAACAATTTTGTCTATTGAATTTTAAGTTATGAACAGAATTTCTTTAATATGAATAGCTCATGCTGAAAATCCTGTGTGTTTCTGCAAGTCTGTGTGTGATGTATGTACTAAAGAGGTCACTCCTTTTACCCTCGAGTTCTTTCCTTCCTGTCTGTTTATGTTTCAGCTCAGGAAAATGAGAAGAAAACAGCTCAGAAACCAAGAACAAAATCAAGACCAGGCTGTAGCTCTGAGGAGATTCGGGGGCCTCTATGGTCCTCTGGAGCAGTGTATATCAGGCTAGCCTTGGGCCACGTTGCCATACTCAGAATCAAAATGCTGTCAGAAGACACAGCTAATGTGAGAACGTGAGGGAACAGTGAGAGACTTCCACTTTGTAAAGAGACATGGAACATTTCCTGTGGAAATTCTTTTGTCTGTTGTAAGAGCTTAGGGTTCAGGGGACTGCTGGGAAGCAGACATTCAGGAAACCTGTGCAAAAGTTTATCACAAAGGTAATACAAAAGAGGCATGGGAATTGTCCTTCTACACCTGCCTCTGGAGGTAGGCACCTGCCACTTTATGTCCTAACACATGATGTCACTGAGTCACTGATCTTGACTACTTAGTGATTAAAAACATGACAAAATATATGAAGGTGTCTCTGCCTTCAAATGGGTTTCTTGGGCTTTTCCTTTGGATCTTTTTTTTCCTTCCATGTTTTGTCCTATTCTCATTCGTTTTTATATTACCTGATATATTATTATATTATTATTTTTTAGATACCTCTGTATAGGAAAAGAAAGAAAGGGTCTGGGTGTTGGGTGGAAGTGGATGTAAGAAGGATTTGAGAGAAGTTGGGAGAGAGGAACCATAATAATTACATAATATATTTAAAATTCTATTTTAAATAAAAAATTTCAAAAATATGAAGTCCCCACTAACACAAGCAGGTTCAATTGTACTGTGAATGACTGCTCATGAAACAGAGCACTGTGTCCAACAATGCTGTTTTGCCTGAAGAGATCAAGAGATACGCTTGCTTTCTAAAGGCTTCCAAGAGGGAAATGTCATCTCTTTTATTTGAGACATACTGCATTCCATTCAGAAGGTTCCTCATTTGATTCTTAACACCATGATGAGACCAGCTGCTTGGGGTCTAAAATTCCTGCTTTAGTAACTTTGCCACAGGATTCTTTCCAAGCATACCATGATTTGAAAGGCATGCTTCAAAACAGTTTCAGGCTGATATGTCCATTAAAGTCTGAAATCACACATGGATTACTTTTGTGGTTAGTACATAATTTAATCAAATTCTGATTCTTTTCCACATTTTCAAAGTGATGACTTGCTTGAAAGTAATTTTAATTAAGATTCAAAATAGCCTATTCAACAATCAATGATATTATGTAAATAAAACCCATAAGTTAAACACACACATCAAATTTATGGAAATCTTAAGAAGATATGAGAGCATTTTAAATCAAAGTCACAATTCTCAATAATTAATAATACTCAATGATAACTAAATCAAAATACTCATGTGACATAGGATTTTGGTTTTGGTTTTATAATATCTTGCCTTTTGAAGTGCTGATACAAGTATAAGCCTTGATTTCTATATGAAAAGCTTCAGGAACAAAACAGTGCCCACCAACATTATTTTAAATGTCTGGAGATTTATGTCCTTCATATATTTCAACATCACTCCCATTGGCTAGAGTGAAAGATTCCTTTTGTTTTACTACAATGCAATGTCAGGATTATAGCACAGTGATGTAGGAAAGGGAAAGTTATATGAGCCTTATTAAAACTAATTTGGTAGTGGCCATTATAAAACAGCAAGGGACAAATTGTAGACATGCATAAACAAAAAAAAGCAATCCAGCATATTTAAAGTGTGTTCATCTCTACTTCCTGTTATTTGAAATTACCATTTTATAGCCATTTAAATAATAACCACATTCAGATAATCTCTCTTATTAGCATAAATAGAAGGTAAATGAATTTTAGAAGTGTGGAAATAATCCTGAATACAAGAATTATAAGTGGTTATAAGTGTAAATAGAGATTGAAAACAGAAAACTTGGCCAGAAACAATTAAAAATATATAGATTTCATGTTTAAATTTTTCTGTGAAAGTCTGGGGAGATGAGTATGTGCATGTGAGTTCAGGTGCCCTCAGAGGTCATAACTGTCAGATACCCATCAAACTAGAGTCACAGGTGGTTGCAGTCAACCCTGTGTTGTCTCTTCCAGGAGGTTAATAGCCACATCTATGCTTTATAATTCCTTAATCTAAATTTTGGGCTTTGCCATTCTCTTCTCAGAATATAGGTAACTAATAAATGGAGTAGAATATTACCACATATCTGATTCATCTACCTTCTGTAGTATGTATAGTAGAGCAAGAAAGAAACATCAATAGAGGTAGCTACTTTAGGTTTAAAAAGAAATCTGGCAATCGGGAATTGTACAGTGATCCACAAGGATGACCCCACCTAGGAATCTAAGCAATAGTGGAGAGGCTACATTAAATTCCCTTCCCCTATAAATGAGAATGATGACTACCTTAAATATCATCTTAAAGTCTTTATCTAGTAGCTGATGGAAGCAGAAGCAGAGATCCACAGCCAAGTACTTAGCCTAACTCCGGGAATCCAATTTCAGAAAGGGAGGAGTGATTTGCAATGGGATCAAGACCATGCTGAAGAAACCCACAGAAACAGCTAACCTGAGCAAGTGAGAAATCATGGACCTCAGTCTGACAGCTGAGGAACCAACATAGGACTAAACCAGACCCCCTGAATGTAGGTGTCAGTTAGGAGGCCTGGGCAATCTATGGGGCCTCTGGCAGTGGAACCAGGTTATAACTATAGAGCAGGAAAAGTCTTCAGGAGCCCATTTCTGATGGAGGGATACTCTGATAGCCTACATACACAGGGGAGGGCTTAGGCCCTGCCACAAATGACTTGAGTGAGTGGGGGATGGAATGGGAGGGTCGATGAGGGCATATGAGGATGGGAGGGAGAAAGAACTTGGATTGACATGTAAAATAAGATTGTTTATAAAAAACGATTAAGTTCATTGATAAGGAAAAATTAAGATAATGGTAAATTGCCAAAGCACTTTCTACTGGAAAAATTTAGAAGAAAATTCACGTTTGTGTTTAGTGCCAGAAAAAAGCTTTAATAGGATTTGAATGTTAAATCTCAGTATTCACTTGTAAAAATAATCTTAATGACTACACATTTGTGGATATTATCTCATATATCCTGCCTTTATTTATAATTTTGTTTTCTTCATGTTTTGATGCAAGGCAATTATTTTCTGATTTTCTCTTGTTCATGCAATTAATATGTGTGCAATCTCTATTTTTGAGATGGTCTATAGTAGAGATGTATGACTTTGTTTCTATAATATCAACAGAGATATTAAAGGGAGAAGAGAGATGAAGAGGGGGCATGTGGTTTCAAACATCTACAATAAAGATTAGTCATTTTTCTCTTCATTGTCAATGCCCTTCAGGAATTGTTACAACTGGAGTACAGGATCTGGCAAAAGAAATACATTGTGTGCTTTTTGTAGAATTCTTTAAAGGTTTTTATATGATTTTTTACATTCTGATTGCTCATTTTATTTCCTGGTGCATTTATTTCGAATACCATTGCATTTCAAAAAGGACAACACAAAATTATTCTTCTTTATTATGTAAAAATAATCTATTTGTCCCCTTGTTCAAAAATATTCTGTCTTTGACTAGATACTCTGATTTCAGTTTCTGCTCATTCTGCATCTCCAAGTTCCTCTTCACCTCCCCTCCCATCATGGCCACACCCACTGTCTTTCTGTCCCCTACTAGAAAAGAACAGACTTCCAAGAGATAACAACAAAACATAGGAATATAGTACATAAGAATATATAACAAATACCATTACCTAGAAGTTGGAGAAGGAAAACAAACCAAAGGAAGAGCTCCAAGTGAAGGGGAAAATATCAGAAACTCACCTGTTCCCAATCTCAGGAGTTCCAGGAAAATACTAAAATGAAAGCTATAAGATAAATACAGAGGACCTGGTGCAGACATGGGCATGCTGTTTCAGGTGCTTGAGTTCACACAAGCTTTGTTCAGTCGATTTAAGGCAGTAGTTCTCAACCTTGCTAATGCTGCGACCCTTTAATACAGTTCCTGTTGCTGTGATTACCCCCCAAACATAAAATTATTTTTGTTGCTTCTTTATAACTGTAATTTTGCTACTATTATGAATCTCAATGTGAACATCTGATATACATGATTATATTATATGATACCCCTAAGAAAGGGTCATTCTACTCCCAAAAATTTGCAGTTTCAGGTTGAGAACCTCTGATAAAGAGAGCATTGATATCACGGTATCCTCCATACCTTCTGTCTCTTACACTCTCTGCTTCCTCTACTATTATCCTAAAGAATCTCATATGTTCTAATTTCTTATGTACATTTTTCTTTCTGGGAAAATGTGTCATCATTAGTCTAGGATTGTTCTAAGAAGGCAGAAAACTTGATGGAGTTTTGAATTGTGTTACACTACTCATCAATGGAATTAACCATTTAAGAAATACTGTATGGAACCTTTTGGTCCAAGGCTTCAGTACAGTTGTTAAGACTTTTGCTTATGAGGACCTGAGATGAAATAATTGGTGGGAGTGAATTATGTTTATGAACTATACCAGAGTTTTGAGACACAGTAAAACTGCTGAACTTGATTGTTTTAAGAAACTATAGCAACAGATTGAGAATGGTT